CTAAAAAGGCAGGAAGGCCCAGATGAAATAAGCTTGATGGCCATGGCCATGTTGGGTTCCAAACCACAAGCCAACAGGTCAACCGGGAGTTGCTCATGGGATCTATTCCAAATGGCCGAAAGTCAGGGAACATACACACACACACAAACACAAAAGCAAAAGCACAAACAACACAAACACAAACAGAAACAGAAGCACAAACACAAACACAGACACAGACACAGACACAGACACAGACACAGACACAGACACAGACACAGACACAGACACAGACACAGACACAGACGCGCACACACACACAGACACACACAGACACACACCCACACCCACACCAACACCCACACCCACACGCACACGCACACGCACACGCACACGCACACGCACGCACGCGCGCGCACGCGCACGCACACGCACACGCACACCGCCGTGCACGCACACGCACACGCGCACACACACACACACACACACACGCCCACACACACGCCCACACACACACACGCCCACACACACGCCCACACACACGCACACGCCCACACACACGCCCACACACACGCCCACACACACGCCCACACACACGCCCACACACACGCCCACACACACGCCCACGCACACGCGCACACACACGCCCACACACACACACGCCCCCACACGCCAACACACACGCGCACGCGCGCCTGCGCCCGCGCACGCGCGCACGCGCACGCACCCGCACCCGCACCCGCACCCGCACACGCACACGCACATGCACACACACACACACCCACACACCCACACACCCACACACGCACACACACACACAAACACACAAAGAGAAACAAACAAACAAGCAATCAAGCAAACGAACAAACAAACAAACACAAACACAAACACACAAGCACAAACGTACAAACACACCAAAACACCAACACCCACAAACACATCAAAGCACCAACACCCAGCATCCCCCCCCAAATAATCCACCCCCCCCCCCAGAACCCCCCCTACCCCCCCCCCCCCACACCCCCCCACCCACACCCCACCCCACCCCCCCCCCCCCCCCACCCCCCTCCCCCCCCCCTCACCACCCCCCCCCCACCCCCCCCACCCCCCCCCCCCCCCCACCCCACACCACCCCCCCCCCCAAACACCACACCACACCCCCACACTCCCCCCCCCCCCCCCCCCCCCACCCCACCCCCACTCCCCCACACCCCCCCCCCACCCCCACACACAAACCCCCCCCCACACACCAAACACACACCCAGCCCTCACCACACACCAACACACACCAACACACACCAACACACACCAACACACACCAACACACACCAACACACACCAACACAAACCAACACACACCAAAACACACCAACACACACCAACACACACCAACACACACCAACACACACCAACACACACCAACACACACCAACACACACCAACACACACACACCAACACACACACCAACACACACAGCAACACACACACACACACCAACACACACACCAACACACACACCAACACACACCAACACACACACACCAACACACACACACACCAACACACACACACACACACCAACACACACACCAACACACACACACACACCAACACACACACACACCAACACACACCAACACACACCAACACACACCAACACACAACAACACACAACAACACACAACAACACACAACAACACACAACAACACACAACAACACACAACAACGCACGACAACACAACAACACAACAACACAACAACACAACAACACACAACAACACACAACAACACACAACAACACACAACAACACACAACAACACACAACAACACACGACAACACACAACAACACACAACAACACAAACACACAAGCAAACAAACAAGCAAGCTAGCAAGCAAGCAAATAAACAAGCAAACAAACAAACAAGCAAACCAACTTCCTGGCTTGGCGACGACAAAAAACTACAATCTGATTTGAGGTTTTCACGCGCACACACACGCATGCGCCAGGGACTTCCGGGAATTCAGTTGGGCACGTGGCACGTAAGGTTTCCGGAAGGCATCCGTGGAAGAAGTGGAGAGGCATCGGCTCTACAGATCCAGCCTGAAGCTCCCAGCCATCCCGGTGCGGCATCGTAGCTCCCCGGAGCCTCCCGCACGCATGTGGCGCTAAGGCATCCGAAAGCTTTCGCTGCATCAATGCAGAAACGGGGCTGGACAGCCGTGGCATGGTTTTCTTTTCCTATTCGGCCGATTTCAGCCACCTCTGTGCAAAAAGAGTGCTGCCACCTGTTGGGACCCTTTGTTTCTTCTTGATTTGCTTGTGTTTTTTGAGGGTACGTTTTGCACCTTGGCTACGCAAATATAGCCTCCAATTTTTGACGTCCCCCTATCTTGACAAATGTCCACTTGGCACCCCTCATGCAATTGCAGCCTTGAAGTGCGAGCCAAGGGGTTGGTTGGACAGGCCAGTAAGCTGAAAGCTTGCTGCTTTGCGCGCGAATTCGGGGGCCGGGCTGCCAAGAGTGCCGCCGGGCGTTCCTGCTGTTTCACCTTCTTGAAAAAATGCAGCAATGGGCTGGTATGACTGGTGTCTTCTCCTTTTCGGTGGCCAGTCAAGTCCGTCAACCTCATTGCACAGGCTTAAGCACGGCGAGTTCCACGACTGGTCCCCCGGACCATTTGGGGACCAAAGTGAGTGAATAGAACCAAGGACCCCACAAGCAACTACAAGGAACAAGCATGCAGGGACTGGAGAAGACTTGGGCATGACTTACCAACCATATAATGTAAGCAAGTTTGCCCATGCGCCCTCTTACTAGTCCCAAAGCACGCCAGGAATGTGGTCACATCCCCTCTTACCCAATCCACACGCATGACTGTGCTCAAAACACAGCCTCCGCCAGCCCGGGTTCAAGTGCAACTCGGGTCCTTGCATGCTGTGCTGCGACGACATGGCCTCCACCTCCACGGATCAAGAAGAGGCAGGGTCGGGCAATCTCGTCTAGACAAGGCCGAGGTCCCCCCAGTAGTGCCAACTTTTTTGGGGAGGGTTCCCCTACTAAAATAGACTACAGAAAAAATGGCACCCTTATTCTAACCTCTCCACTGGAGGACCTAGAGGCCCTTATCCCTTCTCATGAATTCCCGAATGCGCTGGGTAGCTTTTCCATTTTGTCTTCTTCAAAGGAAATCCGGCAGTTGAATCCAACAGGCGGTGGGTAGCTTTTGATTTTGCAGACCCCTGTTTCACACCCAGCTTGTTTAAAGAGTCACGGGGAAAAGGAACATGTCTCAACCAAACCCTGAGAATAGGATTCTCAACCTCCGCTGGTGGCACTCACGCGAGAGCTGGGGATCAAAGCGTCGCCGCTGACCTTGCCAAAGGACTGCCTGGATTACTCCGCAGGGTATCCCTCTTTGGATGAACGAAAGTCTGGCACCGCCTAAGACACCCTGGAATGATGACACCCCTGCAACACCAACGCACGATGGTTTCCCATGGTTTCACAGTGGTGCGGTATTTCGTCCATCCACAGTATTTCGTTGCATAGGCTTAAACAGGCACCACGTTCGGTTGGCCTTTTGGACGACTCATGTTCGGAAACAGGGGCGCCTGGTCCAAGGGCGAAATCCTGGCCTGAGCATAGGTCATGCCTGCCCATGAGGTGCAGCATGCAGCATGATCGTGGGGGACTCTTGCTGAGCTGTTTGGATGGCAAGCTTTATCAACTTGTTAGTGGTACCGCTTCTCCCACTAGCATGGAACCCATCAGCATGGAGCCTACGAGAGGGTTCCTTTTGAAAGAGAAATGTCGATTAGATTTTATGTAAGTGAGTGGGAAGGCGGATGTCTTCAGCATCCGCCGAGGCACAAGTTGCAACTTGTTCTGGCCAAGCGTCGTCTGAGATCAAGTTGCATGTTTCCAAGTCTCCACGGCACGGCGTGAGAAGTACCGGTGGTACCTGGGGATGGCCGGGCCAGGTCTTGTGCTGTCCGAGTAGCATCGCGCTACTCCATACTGTCGCCCAAGAGACGGGTATAGAAACCTTTTGGCCGAAAGCTTGCAATCTCAGGTTTTTTTTCAAAGGAGGTTCCTCTAGACATGGTGGCCTTTTTGGTTCTGTTTGCCCCATATTCAGATGATAGCTATAAACCTGAACATGTCAAATGATAACCCTCTTAAGGGGTGCCTGAGTGCCCGCAACTGAAGGGAAATGGGTTGGAGACCACCAGTGACAGGCCCTCTCCAAGCAAATCCATGAAGTGGGTGGGAAAAATGATGTCATGAGAAGTCAAACAGATCAGCCTGGGTCGATGTTCGATCTGTTGGTTTTTCAGTTGCCTTTGCTCCAGGGATTGGCTTTTAACTGGGTGCTTTGGTTGCTTGTCCATCTGGTCCCTCTGCTGGTTGGCCTGTTTCTGAGGATCCGGTGTTAATAAAGCCTGTTCCTACCTCTGGTTTGTGCTTGCTAGGGCTGATTTTTGTTTGCTAGGGATGGGTTGGTTGGTTGGCTGGCTGGCTGGCTGGCTGGCTGGGTGGTTGGTTGGTTGGTTGGGGTTGGTTGGTTGGTTGGTTGGTTGGCTGGCTGGCTGGCTGGCTGGCTGGCTGGCTGGCTGGCTGGCTGGCTGGGTGGGTGGGTGGTTGGTTGGTTGGTTGGGGTTGGTTGGTGTTGGTTGGTGTTGGTTGGTGTTGGTTGGTGTTGGTTGGTGTTGGTTGGTGTTGGTTATTGGCTGGCTGGCTGGCTGGCTGGCTGGCTGGCTGGCTGGCTGGCTGGCTGGCTGGCTGGCTGGTTGGTTGGTTGGAAACAAAGCCGCCTCGACCTTTCTTCCTGTGCTTCGCCAGGAGTGCTACACGGCCTTCGTGTTGCCCAAGGGCCGGCCCAGCTGCGGCCTGGTGTGGATGCATGGGCTTGGGGACACCGAGGAGTGGGGGTTCTGGGTTCAGGTTACCGAAAACTCAGGGGCGAGTGAGTCTCTTATGAACCATCTAAGGGTAACTTCCCCATTCTGTCCAGGGATGCTTCTTTTTCAGAAAACCATCAAAACATCCAGTGAAACGGCTGGTTTTCGAAAAGAGCGATGGTTGAAAAGAATGGGGAGTCATCCCCTAGAAACAAGTTAAAGCTTTCCCCCTACACTATTCTTGGGCGGTTTCAAAGGGAAAGCAAGGGGAGAGCGACAGTTTTGGGAGTCACCCTATTCTAACACACACCCATAAAAGGTTCCGTTGCAAGAGGTACATGGTTTCAGTCATGGTTGTGGAAAACGGGTCTTAGCTACCCTGCTTGGGGTGGTTTAAAAGGCAAAGCCACCATTTTTCGGGGGCCCCTAGTTTAACACTCACAGGTATAGATCGGGTTTTATGTTGCCAATCTTTGTAGAATGGCCCGCGACGAAGTAGTCTTGGATGGCCGGTTTTGAAAATCAGCCGGTTCCCCCTCTCTTGCACACCCATATGCATGAAGGGGACCACCCTTGCGAAACTGGGTAGGGCTGGTTGAAGCATGACAAGGGGCCAGCCCTTTGACGAGATTGGGGATCGGGGAGTCTTTGAGTGATTTTCGCAGGAGGGCTGGGCCGAGAATCTGGAGGAGGACTTTCGGATTCCCAAGGCGGGCTTTTCGAAAGTGGTGGGGGGAACTTGGGGTCAGTCCTTTTCGTAGGGGGCATGGGCGTGCTTTGTTTGGCTCGAGCGTTTGTGTGTGTTTGTGTGTTTGTGTTTGTGTTTTGTGTTTTGTGTTTTGTGTTTTTGTTTTGTGTTTTTTTTTGTGTGTTTTTTTTTGTGTGTGTGTGTGTGTCTGTGTCTGTGTCTGTGTCTGTGTCTGTGTCTGTGTCTGTGTCTGTGTCTGTGTCTGTGTCTGTGTCTGTGTCTGTGTCTGTGTCTGTGTCTGTGTCTGTGTGTGTGTTTGTTTGTGTTTGTTTGTGTGTGTGTTTGTGTGTGTTTGTGTGTGTTTGTGTGTGTTTGTGTGTGTTTGTGTGTGTTTGTGTGTGTTTGTGTGTGTTTGTGTGTGTTTGTGTGTGTGTGTCTGTGTGTCTGTGTGTGTCTGTGTGTGTCTGTGTGTGTCTGTGTGTGTCTGTGTGTGTCTGTGTGCGTGTCTGTGTCTGTGTCTGTGTCTGTGTCTGTGTCTGTGTCTGTGTCTGTGTCTGTGTCTGTGTCTGTGTCTGTGTCTGTGTGTGTGTGTGTGTTTGTGTGTGTGTGTGTTTCGGATGTTTGGTGTTCGGGGGGGTGTTTGGCGGGAGGTTTCTTGTTTTGATTTTGTTTGGGAGGCGTTGGGCCCACTTCACCCCCGACATTTTCCTTCACCTCGCTGGAGGATAGGAAGAGGATGAATATGTATATATATATATATATATACATATATATGTGTGTATATATATATATATATCCACGGATTTGCTTGGAATCACAGGTGAAACCTAAAACAATCCAGCAATTGCCAGCTGCGCCTGTCCTTGCTGAGTTCCCTTAACATGGTCAACCCCAAGAAGGGTTCCGTTTTTCTGGCAGGGTCACACATCTGGGTTTGTTCACGGGTCAAAGCGAACTCGCTTCCCAAGTTGCTGGATTTTTTAGTCACTGAGCGCACTGAAGAAAAGTGTAAACTCTTGGGGGCCAATCACCTCTTCAGAAGTGAGTGAAAGCAAATTGAAACCACCTCATTTAAGGCCTTCCTGTTGACACATAGTGTGCTGGGAATTGGTAGGACCCCTTCACTGGCGCCAGGGCGGTTCGACACGACTGGGTAAGTGCTTTGAAATGCCAAGCTTATCGCGCCCTTTTCAGGTTAAGGCCTGGATGCGGACTAGTTTGTTTCGTAGTGCATATGGCTGTGGCTCAAGAAACCGGTACCAAAATATGGAACCCTGGGAAGTGGAAACATGGACCAAAACCTGCGGTTTGCTTCTATGTTGAACTGGGTGCTTTTCGTTGCGCGGAACCCCCACTTCAGTCAACAAAAGCAACACTAGTGCCCTTTTTTTTTTCCGTGGGCACGCATGAATGATTGATCCGGCAATGGGTCCAGGTTGGTGGTGCACTGGGTCCAAGAAGGTGACATCCATCGTAGCTTTTGCTCTAAAGTGCGAGGGAAGAGATCCACCGCGTCCCAAAAGCAATCTTGAGAACCCCTCAAAATGCAAAGAGTTTAACGGACACAGTTGCATGCTTTTGCCTATTTTATGGCCAGCTCAGCTGGCTAAGATGAGCTTAGCTTGAAGGCACCATTCTCGCAGGAGCAATTCCTCTTTGAGACCTTGGAAGTGCTGTAAAAATTGCAGATTATTACATTGCCAGACGTAGCTTTCCCTTTTTACGTCCTAGGTCCCGCCCTTTTACCCACTTTTTGGGGGGAGGCTCCCCCCACTAAAGGGTAGCCTTATTCTAACCTCTCTACTGGAGGACCTAGCGTCTCCTTTTTTTTTCTGGGCTCCTTTGATTTCCGCTTCCCAGCAGCGAAGTCTGCGGCCTTTGTCGGGCCTTTGTCGGGCCTTTGTCGGGCTCTGCAGGCGCTGGGG